TAGCCTGTACCACGTCGCGAAAATAGAACAAGCCAAAGAAAAATAAGACACCTTTCTTTCCCCAGCTCCCGCAGGTTTTTCGAATTACTTTTTACTGCACAACTGATTGTACCTTTTCGAGCCGGAGCGAACATGGACGCCCTTGGGGTTAAGTTTCCACTTCATTTTCGGCACCTGACTAAACGCAAGCGCTGACTTGTGCGCCTATGCTTCGTTTGCACTGAAGTAGCAGTATATGACCACGACAGACTTGCTGCTATCCTTGGTTTGAAACCGCAATGGGCAAGAACAATTTCTTGAAAAGAGCAAACTATTTCCTCCTTAGCAGACATGGAGAACAACTACTAGGACTTAAGCAATGCCATTGCTTAAGTCCTACTAGACTTGAAAAGAGAAAGCATGATGCTTTATCTTTTTAATGATTTACGGCTAAACAGTACAATTTCATGTAGCTTTTACGCAAAATTAAATACTTAGTTGTTTGCAGAATTGCATTTAACAACAAATTACAGAAATTTAACTGTACCATTTTTAAAAGTGGGACAGTTAGTCTAGGAGGTAGAACCCTGAAAAAATCGACACGTAGCACACCCTCTACATATTTGGTCTGACATCACAAAATGGTAGGGCAATACCCATAGAACATTTTTAGGTATGATGTACTGATGTACTGGTGGGACGTCGTTGTGCTGGGGGCTCATTTGTGACTGCTGATAAGGTCCCTGTGATTTAAGCATATTTTTAGTATCATTATTTTATACATGTTCAACTCGACATTACTCCCCTAAAGTTAAGCTTAGACAATTTTAAATTGGCTCAAGCATTACTGGTGTGAATATATTTTATCTTTATGTGTGAAACAACTTAACGAGGTTTCCATGGTAACCGTTGCTATGGTTATTTTTTAATTAAGGGTATTTAAGCAATAATTAGCATTAGATTCTTTAGAATAACGACCAAACTTATCACTTCTTTATCCATCATCTTAAGTTAATCAAACAAAACAATACTTTTGAATTTAAAGTTATTCAATTTTCAAAATAACTCATCTTTCCCTTAACAACTGCTGTTTACTACAGTGATTATGGTCAAAACTTGTTGCTTTATTTTCTCTTTTTGCTTACAATAATCTTTCACTATCTTGACAAAATCCGAACAATGTTTTCACGGTAACAACTGCCAATAAGACATTTTATAGGTGAAATCTGAAAACAGATTTTGACACCAAAATGGCACTAGCTTTGATTTGGAAGATAGTTTTCAAATCGACGAGAGGAATGAACAAATTGAGGACTTGAACTTTCCATTGCATAATTTAAGTGTTAAGTGTGTGGAGGACATTATGCTGAATTATGATTTAGTTGACATCTGGAGAATCCGTAATCCTAATAGCAAGAAATTTTCTTGGAGACAAAAAAACCCAATTATTCAAAGACGCCTTGATTATTGGCTCATTAGTGACCTATTACAAGATGACGTAGCTAAAGTCGACATAGTGACAGCTATAAGAACGGATCACCATGCAATAACTTTAGAAATTGACAGTCTAAATGATCAGCAGCGTGGCCCATCTTTTTGGAAGTTCAACAACAGTCTCTTGGATGACGCTTTTTTCGTTGAGCGTTTACGCGAGAACTTTCCTAAGTGGATAGACGAAATTAATCTTTGTGATGATTCGAGAATTAAATGGGACTGGATGAAATACAAAATTCGCGGGGAAAGTATATCGTATAGCAAACTGAAAGCTAAAGAAAGGAGAAATAGAATTCAAACAATTGAAAACAGGCTTAAAATATGTGAGGAAAAAATAGCAGAATCACCGACGCAAGAAAACCTTGCCAACCTCGAATCGGTCAAAACAGAATACGAACAAGAGCATGATTACATTGTAAGAGGCTCAATCATTCGTTCCCGCGTTACATGGTTTGAACAAGGGGAAAGAAACAACAAGTATTTTCTAAATCTGGAAAACAGAAATAAGAAAAAAAGCTGCATACGAAAACTTATTCGAGCAAATGGAGAAGAGACTACTGTTCCGGACACTATTATGACTGAAATTCACAGTTTTTATTCTGAACTTTATGACGAAAAGGGAATACAAACTGACTATTCGATTTGTCCTTTTCTGGAAGATACCCTCTCATCTCCTAAGTTAACCGACTCAATGCGGGAAACGTGCGAGGGTCAATTAACATATTCCGAATGTTTCAAGGTTCTGTCTACCTTTAGTAACGATAAAACTCCTGGAAACGATGGCCTCACTATAGAATTTTACAAGTTCTTCTGGTCAGAAATCGGAACATTTCTAGTAGACTCATTAAATTATGCGTATTTTCATGGTGAATTATCACATTCGCAAAAGCAAGCCGTAATAACTTTAATTGAGAAAAAGGACAAAGACAGGAGATGGATAAAAAACTGGAGACCGATTTCCCTGGTAAATGTCGATGTTAAAATTGGCTCAAAAGCTATCGCTAAAAGGCTAGAAAATGTCCTACCACATATTATCCATTATGACCAGAATGCCTTTGTAAAAGGACGAACAATTTTTGATGCAACTCGTACGATAACCGATGTGTTGGAATTTACTAAAATGCGAGACTACCAAGGTATAATGACTGCAATTGATTTTGAGAAAGCCTTCGATTCTCTAAATTGGAACTTCCTCCACAAATCGCTAGAGTTCTTTGGCTTTGGAGAATCCTTCTTGGGGTGGATCAAGACGTTTTATAATAATATATCAAGTTGTGTTTTCAATAATGGTTTTTCCACCCCTCTTTCAATGTTAAACGGGGTGTTCGCCAGGGCGACCCCTCTCGCCATCTCTTTTCATAATAGTACTTGAATTATTGGCATTATCCATACGTAATAACGATCAAATTAAGGGTATTGAGGTGGATGGTTCCGAAATCAAATTAGTTATATTCGCTGACGATATGACATCATTTGTTAGGGACAAATTTTCGCATCGCACCCTTTTTGATACTATCGATCTGTTTAGTACATACTCCGGATTGAAGGTCAATCACGACAAAACGGAAATTCTTCTACTAGGAAGTATGGAAGTAAACAGCTCAGAACTAGGTGTTAATGAAATAAGTAAGGCCATAAAGATCCTAGGGGTTCATTTCACCTTTAATCACGCACTGTTTTATAAGCTTAACTTTGAATCAATCGAGAAATCTCTGAGGGGATTGCTGAAGAGCTGGAGCTGGAGAGGTCTTACACTACTTGGAAAAATTCAAGTGATCAAGTCTTTCGCCATACCAAAGATTTTATACAGGGTTGTTCTCATTTCAAATAAAGAAGAGTTTATCAAAAAAAAAATAAATACTTTGCTATATTCCTTTGTTTGGAAGGGAAAAGATAAAGTAAAGCGCAGAGCTTTTATTAACCCTATTGATAAAGGAGGCTTGAAAATGCCTAACATTGAGTCCATGATCTCTGCCCAAAGAATAATTTGTATTAAGAGATATCTCTCCATTGACCCCGCTGGCTGGAAGTTTTTTCTGGATTTTTATCTTAAGAAAGTAGGGGGGAAATTCTTGTTTCATTGCAATTTTAACTACACTAAACTACCGGTAACTCTTCCAGAATTTTACAAAGAATGCATTGTGGCGTGGACCCTTTTAAATGAAGACAACCCCTCCTCATCCTCTGAAATAGCAAATCAGGTCATATGGAACAACCAGTTTATTTGTATTGAATCAAAGTCAGTCTATAACAGTAGGCTGATTGATCTTGGAATTGTAAAAATTGGAGACCTCTACGACACGTGGGGAGGTTTCAAGTCGAACAAGGAACCATTATATTCAACTCTCTCACCAGTTGAACATTTTCTACTTTTCAGTCTCTTCAATGCTTTTCCTGAAGAATGGCGCAAAATATTAAAAACAAATAAAAACTCTATCTCTTCAAAAACTCATGATCTAATCCAAACTGATTTCAAGTTGCGTATTGAAGGGAAAAAAGTCAATTTCCAAAATCTTAAATCAAAGTCATTATATGACAGTTTTGTTTCTAAGATATCCAGTATACCAACAGCGCAAAAGAAATATAACGAAGCTTTCAGCACACACACATTTCAGTTGGACTGGGAAAAGATATATCTACTGCCCTTCAAAACAACATTGGATACTAAATTAAGAGAATTCCAATATAAAATATTAAACAGGATCTTATACACGAACAAGATGCTGTTTAAGTTCAAAAAAGTAGATTCTCCCTTGTGCGATTTTTGTGAAAAGGAGTTGGAGACCATAGAACATCTCTTTTTCCATTGTACAAAAGTAAGCATGTTTTGGAATGATTTAAAGTCTGTACTTGATTCTTTTAATATAACTATTAGATTTGATATCATGAATGTCCTTTTTGGGATCCTAGATACAGATAATATAAGCATTCTAGTCAATTACATCATTCTTGAAAGTAAATATTTTATTTACCGCTGTAAGTTAAATAAGGGCTGTTTATGTGTAAGACTGTTAGTCGATAAATTTAAAAAAACGTTTCAAACCGAACGTTTTATCGCGAAAAGAAACAACAAAATCCATTTCCATGATAAAAAATGGAAGCCGTTACTCCCATTAATACAACAGTAGCTGTTATCCAAACTTCGTTTTTCTAATACTCCCTGTATTACTCTGTATTTTAAGTTCAAGTCGAATAAGTTATGTAAGCCTTGTAGTGTAGTGCAGTGTAGCTTTTTATTTATTTATTCTTTTTTCTATTTTTTTTTTTTTTTTGTAATTAAGGTAGTTGTTGTAAATTTTGTAATGTTTGTATGTTTCGATCTGTATGTTGTTTGTACTATACCTGTAAAAAGAAAATAAATAAATAAAATACAAAAAAAAAAAAAATTTAAGTCTAAACTTTAAAACTGCAATATGGAAAGCTAAAATTAGGATCAAAATTCAGAAATTGAATTTTGGGGGATAGTGAACGCCATAGTTTAAATACCGAAACTTGAATGTGTATTGCTGTTACTAGAGAACTAGAGGCTAAACTTCAGCATCTGTTAGCTCGTCTTCACTGCTTCCAGGTGTTACATCAACTGGCTTGTGAGGATTTTGGCAACTTTCATCATTCATACAAAGGCATGCCTCTGTACAGGGCATCTCGTGGGCTTTGCAAGGACACAAGTCATCCCTTCTGCAGACAGATTTGTTACATTTGTAAGTCGTCAGTTCAAGCAGCCCTTTTGGTGCTGGATCCTTGGACATCAAAAGTGGTTCCAAAAAACTATCCACTTTCTTCCATCCGTTGCTGACTGGCGACGAGAGTTGCTGTGTTGCATTCAAGCAGTGTTTCCACACATATGCCTGGTAGTTAGCACGTTCAATGTGGTGTCGCAAGCTGTTGCTTGTGGGTGGTAAACTTTCACTTCTTTGGTGCTTTTGGCAGAACATCCAATAGCGTACGTCGTCAGCTGTTACCCCTGCCTTCTTGTTGGTTGTATAAAGGGAGCAAATAAACCTCTCACAGGCTTCAACAGTGAGCGCTGGTGGTGGAATCTGACTGCCAAGGTTGCCAACACTGTCATGGAGACTGGGATATTTGACAAATACCTTCCATCCTTTCTTTTTCCCGATCTGAAACAACCCACTAGTAGAATCACAACCAGTTAGAGCATGGAATGCTGGAATCGCTGCGCAAACACTCTTACCAAGCTTCTCAGCAATACGATGGACAGGGACGAAGCGAACCTTATCTTTGACGCCTGTCTTGAACCACATTTCGTTGCACTGTATCATCTCGTATGCATAGATAGCTAATACAGCAACATCTGTATCAGGGGACTGAATGACAATCCTCTCTTTAGTGGAAGAGGCGTGCCACGCATGAAGGATCATCCTTGTGTCGGCTTCTTCATGGTCTGATCTCAGCTCTGCAAGGGGATCCGTACGTCCACGGGTTACAACAACTGTATCTGTTGGATCTTCAAAGCCACCTCCAATTACCAGCTCTTGATCAGGAAGTAAGTTGTATTCACCCAGACTGCACCACTCTCGGCAAAAAAATCTGGAAAGGTTAACCTTGTTATTCTGGTTGCTGATAAACTTCCCCCATTGCTTTGGAACTGGTGTATGCTTGTTTGTGATTTGGATCTCAAGAGCTCTGCTTGAACCCCTCCTAACTCTTTCACTTTCCTTTATGGACTCTTGAACATCATAGCGGTCAAAGACAACATCTACTCTTCTGCACTGACCTTGTCGTAGAGGTGTGAAGAGCACATTAAAGAATCTTTCAGCCAGGTCTTTGAATGTGCGGGAGCCTGCAGACTTCAACGTCTGGACAAGAGCCATTGCATCAAAAATGAATGCAGTTGATAGTGCACTTTCAGGAAGTCTTCCTTGTGCTTGACATTCCCGTTCAACCTCAGCCATTAGGACACTTTTTGTAGTTTTCCGCAGTGCACCATCTGCATGTGCCAATGCAAAGGGCACGGTGGACAGTTCATATCTCAGGACCTCTTTCACATCAACGTCACGACACTTTGCAGCAATTAGAAGTCTTCCAAACAAATTTCTATCAGCTGAAATAGTGATGATCTTCTCGTCTGCGCACTTGATTTGATTTGTTTTTGCCAGAGAAGCAAATGTTGTCAAATTCAATTTCGATATCTTGCTCCAAAAGGATACCTCATCACTGTCCATTCTTTGTCTCCTAAATTTCTTTGCTTCTTCTGCTCCTGTGCTGAAACAGTCAACGAGCTGCTCTGCCGCGTCATGCGGCATAACGAGTCCAGTGGCGATGTTTCGTAATTGAACTGGGTCTTCCTTCGATGCCTCACTCAAATCAAAAGGGTTTGACATGGTATCAGTAATGGTGTTAATCAGCCGCTGGACATCGTTTTCATCCCTCTTTACTCTTTGGGAACCTGCCTCCTTGTGAGTCCCAATCTTGTCAGAGTCTTCAAGGTTGCAAAGTCGCTTGGTTGCAGCAGTTAGCTCAGCTCTCTTGTGACTTGTTATAAACCATCTGTCTAGTGCCGAAGCATTTTGTGTCAAGCCAACAATCCCCCCTCTAGTCTTGCTGTCGAGATTGATGGTTTGTTCCAAGGCCATGTCAGTCCAAACTTGGCTAAAGGGTTGACTTGATCTACTCACTGGGTCGTTACCATTTAGGAATTCTTCGTAAACTTCTGGAGCGTGAGTGGGAAGCAGCTGCATATCAGCCAAGTAGATTGGGAGCCACCTGCAATTTAGTGGAGGAAGAGGTCAAAATAAGAGAAACATAAGAAGGGGCCGGGTAAGTGAGAAAATTAAAGCTAACCGCATAATAAGGTAACGTCCTATGATAATGTGTAGATCTCTTCATGCGTTTGAACTAACGCGTTCACCACTTGGGATAAAGAATAAATCCCGTAATAAGTTCGATATATTATGATTCAGTCTTAAACAAAACGCATCATTTCGAAGCAAAGGGGAGTAAATCCTTACAAATCCTTATCATATTACAAATCCTTATCATATAAGACCTCTAATCCCCGTAGCGATGACTCTTTTAAAGTTCAATTAGGCTACTGTTCTTTAGTACTGATGCACAATTTGCAGTCAATCTGAAAGATATGAAAAAAGATAATCAGAATAAATCGATTGCCCACATACCTGGAATAGTTGATGCGATCCATTGAAAAGAAGTACGGTACCATTTCTGCAACGGCTTTCAAATGAAGTTTCCATGATCCTTCTCGTTCAGCTCGAATGAAGCGCAACAGCAATAGAACAATGTCAATATACATATTCCAGAAGTGGAATAGTTTAGACTGCTGACTAGCTTCTGTGCAGAATCTCGCGAAAATTTGTTGAAGTTGTGGGAGTTTGTCGCAGAGAAGACCGAATGAGGTCTTCAGAGAGGCTAGATCATTACTTTCTCTTTGACAACAGTTTATTAAAGATAAACACTCTCGCTGATATACTGTTGGGAGCTCGACGTCCTCAGCTTCCATCCAAGCTCCAAATGCTTGCCACTGCAGTCTCAGTAGTGCTTCGAGAACAAGCTTATGTGCACGCACGCCTCTGTTGTATGACTTTCCCTTCAATAGCATAGATGCCGTGTGGCATCCATACACACCAGATTCTATTAGCAGGTCTTCAATGCCACTGTCCTGGAAAATCTTTCCAATAACTGAGAGGAAGTTTAATGCTATATGAAAACCTCCCATTCGGATCACTGTGTTCTTAAATTCTTCAGGCCGTCGCCACTGAATCTCTTTGGCCTTCATGTAGATTGCCAGGTCAAACGTAATTACACTGTGCTTCTGGTGTAGTACATCCATCATTGCTTGGACGTTCTTCATGGCAGTGTAAACTGTACTGTATTCAGTAGGTGAACCATTGATCATTGGACAGTAACCAACGGAGGTCAGGGGCGGCGGCTCACTTGCTATCTTTGCGTTAAACCCACTACAACTTGGCAAGGGCTGAAAAACTTCGCCGTCGCGGTTATGTAGATTTTCACTAAACAACTGGTGGGTACACAGACGTCTTAAAAACCAACCAAAATCCATCTGAATTGCAGTGGTACAGAGCGAGCTTGAGGACTGAAACCACTCTTCTTCTATTTTGTCTTTGTAAAAGGTTACGGCAGGCCGCTTGCCGCAAGCACCAAACTCCAACAGGGGTGGATTTGCATCTGAGATGTTAAGAGACCGTCGTTTTTCTGAATGAGCTGGACGAACTGCAGGTTTCGGTTTTGGTCCTTGTTGCTTTCTTTGGTACAGGACAAGTGTAGTGGCATGAGTAGTATGCTTGCCGTCTAGTGTCTCCTCATTGATATCGTTATTGTCTCCCGCGACTTGAACGAACACTCCTGGTAAAATGTTAGATGGAACAACAGCACCCACATTTTCTGAGCTGGCTATAATGTCTAATGCTAGGCTAGTGTCAACTACTTCTATATCATCATAAGAACAGCAGTGACCGAATCTGTTTAACATCGTTACCAGGTGCTTTGAACCTGTCATATGGCGAACAGACATCGCCAAACCAATGTGCTTAGGGGTCTTCACGCGACCATGAGTTGTTGCATATATTAGATCTTGTGCAATTGCTAAAATATGTCGCTCATCTGCGGCATTAGAAGCAGTCGGAGCAGATACATCAACTTTATCTGGATTCGAGATCATCAAGCACAAAAAATTGTAAAGATCTTTAGGCATTAAGCTCTTTACTTTACAGGCACTGATGTCCTCCACATCAACAGGTTGGATCCCTATACTTTTGCTTTCACTCCGTATGCTTGACCTCAGTATTTGAGCGGCGTGGTATAGTATGGAATTGACATCATTCTGACCCTGGCTGTTTGAGGATTCATCTTCAGAAGACGCTGACATGTTAGCCAAATGGCAACTTTTCTTAGCGGCTGAATTGATGACATCCTGCAAAGATATAGAGCTAGAGTAAACCAACTCTGGCTTCGAGGGATCCGGTAGCTTCTGAAAGACAATTTCCTCTTGAAAACTTTGTTGCAGTCTGCGTTTTAACCTCTCTGACTTGTAACTTTTTGCCGTGTTGCAGCCAAGGTGTTGCAAAATTCCCTGGTAAGAGTCCAACAGGGTTTTCATATCAAGGGCCACTCCTGATTCTAACTGAGGTTTGATGTCCTCTCTCAGGTTTTGGAACGCTTTGGTGTAAACATCTTCCTCCCCATCAACTCGAAAGTCAACAAACATTAGGTTGGATTTACTTACATATTGGGAGCGGCAGTGTTTATGATACTTGGCCTCCGCAGCAATCAAATCAACTCCTGAAATCTTCAACAGCATGCTCTCATCACTCCTTCTTCTTGCAGCCTCCTCTATAGCCTTGCATGAATCAAATGTTGAAACGTTCATAAGTTTTGTTGTCCCCTTTGACTTTTTCTGCTGACAAAATAGACAAAGGGACCAATCCACTGCATTAACTTGCGATCTGGAACTTGGTCTGTCAACGTGCCTTTCTTGACTTTCAGCAAAAGGCAATGGTTTAATAAAGCTAAGATTTCTCTTGCTTGTATAACTTTGAAAACACTTGCCGTGCCAGACAACATCTAGAGCGTCTAAATTTTCAAAAGTCGACAAAATCCTGTGGTAAGTTTCATCTTTCCTAACCTCTACAGCTTCTTTAAACGATCTCAATCCAGCTTCGGTAGGACTTCTTAGTCTTTCACTGCTTTTTTCTTGACAAATAATACATTTTGTTAAGTCTGTATCTGATTTGGGCTTCTTTTTTGGAGGCAGAAGCCTCACTTCGCTTTCTTCCTCACTGCTTTCGGTACAACTAGCCATTACCAATCATCTTAAGAAAAAGTAAAAAGGAATCATAGATTCTTTCCTCTTAGCAGTGATTAACTTCTGAATTCAAAAAAGAAAACATGTCCTACGTAGTTAGTTGTTTCCTGGCGATATGTTTGAATGTATCCACTTTTCAAGATAAAATTGGAGATTTGCTCTATATATTTGTGTATAGTTTCAGATAAATTATTCTAAGCAAAGCAAAATTACTGATAAAAACTTTTACAGAACGTGTTTCATTGTCAATAATTTGTACGTAACTTGATAGATTTCCTTAACAAAACAGAATTACTTATAAATAATGGAAAGAGATGTGCTTACAAACCAAAACCTTTGCACATGGTCAGTCCTTCGCTAGCCACACGTTTAAATATTCGTAATTTTCAACATAAAAATGGAAATTTGCTCTCTGATTTGTGCACATCTTCAGATAAATTGCTCTTAACAACATAAAACTACCCCTAAACTGAAACTGAACGTGTTTTTAAAGTCAAAACCTTACCTGTGAAAGAAAACAGCGTCGAACCAAAATCCAATATGGCTGAACTAAACAGTCTGTAAGTACCAATTGCATTGTGGGAGCCTTACTCCCTTTGCACTCTGGGAAGTTTTCAATTTAGTAAGAATCGCAAACGTTATTATAAAAGTAAAAAAGATACTTGCATCAGGCAATTAGAGGTAGTTTTTGCTGAGAATCCATATTGATTCAGACAAAAATTTTCAACTGAATCTCTTGCTAAGGAAATTTGATAAATAAAGTGGTAGAGATATAATTACTGGGTAGATACCGAGTTTTGGAAAATAATATTTTGATGTCACAAATACTGTTTTGTTTGATTAACTTAAGTTGATGGATAAAGAAGTGATAAGCCTGGTCATTATTCAAAAGAATCTACATTGTAATACTAATTATCGCTTAAATAGCCTTAATTTAAAATTACCATAGCAACGGTTACCATGGAGACCTGGTTAAGAAGTTTTACACATTAAAATAAAAGATATTTACACCAGTAATGCTTGAACTAATTTAGAACTGTCTAGGCTTAACTTGAGGGGAGTAATGTCGAGTTGAACTTGTATAAAATAGTGATACTATAAATATGCTTAAATCACAGGGGCCTTACCAGCAGTCACAAATGAGCCCCAAGCACAATGACGTCCCACCCGTACATCACTACATCATACCTAAAAATGTTCTATGAGTATTGCCCTATCATTTTGTGATGTCAGACCAAATATGTAGAGGGTGTGCTACGTTTTTCATTTTTTAGGCCTCTCCTGGAAATCTCCTCTTAGTCTAAGTATGTTTATTAATCATCTTAGTTAACCGCTTTTAAAATAGGACAAAAGGACACCTGGTCATACAGGAAAATGAATTTACTGTATCCCGAAAGCTTTGGTTTCCCGTGCACTTCTTTTTCGCAGGAGACAATCGATAATTGCCTGGTCACGCAATCGGAGGTGAGTAACTAATTAAAAGTCATCGATACCATCGCCGCTTAGCAAATACACTACTTGCTGCAAAGGATCCAAATTGCGCTAGAATGTTTTCCTATTCGGCCCACTTTTTATCTCAGGTAAGGCACTGCAAAGCTGATTCACTTACGAAGATTCGAGGGAGAATTATTTCATAATGGTATTCTGATTTCGCAGTCACGGGAAAACAGACCTAGACTCAGGTCCACTCGCAGACGCCATGGTACAACCTACAAGATCTCAAGAACAGAAACTACCCATTGAACGGCCTCTCCTTTTGAAGATTGCGTGTATTTCATTAAAACAGGTACATATTAAAAGAATCTTGTTAGTTTCTCCCTTTTAACGAGCTCAAATCGATGCATAAAACTAAGGTGACGTGCACGTGTCAATTGACCCTGGGGTCAATTAGCGGTTGTTTGGGGCAAAATAACCTCAAAATAATCAATCCATTTTACAAGCGTTCGCAAGAACACCAGACTAACTTTCAGATAATGTTGAAGTACTATATCTCATTGGGTAGTAAGCGGGATTTGGGGTGATTTGGAGAATTCCCCCATATGGAAAATTCGATTTTGGTTTTAGCGGTAAATTGTTGTATTTATAAGCATTATGCAAATTACGTTTCAAAATTGAGCTCGTTCGTCGATATTTTATTCTCTAAATCTAAAAAAATGTGCTGTTTAGAAATTTTTAATATATGTTTTTTGAGATTTAAGTGGAAGATTGCCAATATATTCGCTCGTTTATGAAAGTCAGCTCATCTCTGTCGTTAGGCTATATTGCCGTGTTCGGCGGCTAATTTTAGGCCCGCAAACCGTTGAAATCGAAAATCTCAAATAATTCCCAAATTCGGCCGCATTTTGAAATTTAAACCTCAGCAGTGTTATAAACTCATTAAAACCTTGTTACAGACTTAAAATGAGGGTAGGTTAGGTTTTGAGCTGTGGCCACGGTTTGCTCGATTTTTCTGTGCAGTCGCTCTTAATGAAGACTGAGTTGCAATACGTACCGCAAAAACATGAACAAAGCAATAGTCTGGTTTAGAAAAAGCAAAAAAAAAACACACGCGCGTACAAAACTGGTCAAAGGAAATAAAGCAACAGCGTTTCTATATTTTCACAAGATATACAAATTTTCCTCAATTACTACTGTATGGTCAATAATAGCAAAAAATAGCTTACATTAGCTCTTTCTTCTTTTAACTAATCAATGGTTTCCACACGCAAATCTAAGACGAGGAAGCATGGTCGTGACTTGCATACTACCAGTGATATTGATTAGTTGCTCCTTAGCTGCAAAATCGTTAAAAGCAATAGTTAATCTCCTCCCATCTACTTTTTGTACTTGTTTTGCCGTCACCGTTACGACAAAGACGTCAAATGTCCTAATGAGAAATGTTATGGGGGGCATAAACACACGGGTTGGCGTTTTATCGGGATTCATGATTACTCCCAATATCATCCTGTGCTCTTAATCAAACATTTAGGCAATCTGCATTTTTCATAAATCACAATTTGTGCAACTAATGTAATTTAAACCTACCTTAGAATTCCGAAAATAAGACCCTCCACGTATAAGCCCCTCTAAATAAAAGCCCCCCAGTCCGGTAACGCAAAAACCCTCCGTTAAATCGCCCCTCCAAATATAAGCCCCCCGGGGGCTTGTACTTGGAAATTGCCCTCAAATACGAAGTAAAACAAAGCAAAAACGGTAGATTTACTTCCAACTGTAAGGCTAGCCCAATCGATTTTGAAACGCAAATTTCCCTCCTTAGATAAGCCCCTCCGAATATAAGCCCCTCCAAAAATAAGCCCCTCAAAAAGGGCCTTTGAAAAATATAAGCCCCGGGGCTTGTTTTCGGAATTTTACGGTATTGGTAGTATTTAATTTTCCTTATTTCTAACTTACACCAAGAAGAACGAAGAAAAACAAATAGAAAAGAATCATTGACATCTCTCTTCAGTGACCCAGTGAAACTAATTCAAAGATAGCAAATCCGTCCCTTGCGAAACAGCCTCCGGAAGTAGCTGCCCATTTCCCGTTAGGAACGAAGGACCCTCCCCCTCTTGCATGGATATTCATTATATTCCTGGCAACTTGAACACCTCCGCCAGAGAATCCACTCCCTCCCCCGCAGTTACCACCGCCGCCAAAACCTCCTGCACACGGACCGTCTTTATTGAAACCCCCTCTGCCTCCGGCAGTAAAAGATTTTACGAAGCATCTTCCGTCAGATATAAGGCCGCTCCCTCCACCAACTCCTGTTACAGTATCAAAACGGCTTTTTGATACGCAGACGTTCCCTCCTTTCGCCTTTCCCCCACCATTAACAATGCCAAAATTTATGCCTTGCCCTGGATCACCATCTGCAACATCTGCCGTACCCTCACCCCCAGCTACGGCCAAAGGACTTCCATCAGCAGCGAACACAACAAACGTCCCACCACCACCACCTCCTCCAGTAGCCTTTTGCCCAACTAAGACCTTCCGCTGCGTTCCCTTTTGCAGATGAATGCTTCCTTTTACTCTAGCGCCTCTTCCACCTGAAGCTCCACACAGTTCAGCTTGATACTGGCCCGTCACTGGAACAATCCACGTTTGTAGGCCCTTTTGAACTGAGATCCCTTCCAGTGAGGTACCCTGGTTGGCATTGCTGGTTGGTCCAAATCGTCCCGCAGCTCCAAGAGAAGTGAAGTGAAAGTAGATGTCTATAAGGAGATGAAATGATGTAACTTTATTTTTTCGTTATGGTGAAGAACAAATACATACAATCTCTGGCCATGGCTAGCCCGTGTGAGTATTTAGATAGAGTATAAAGAACTGTATATGGACAAAACTAGACGGATAATTGCGCTTCTACAGCAAAATAGCGCGTTTTGAAATTAGAAAACAAAGGGTTGCTGGGGACTAACAGCCATAAATCAAGATGTTGGCGTTTAACTTTCAGAGCAACTTGAACAAACAAAATGGACAATGGCTACTTGACAAAATATGACGGCTGTGTTTAATTTGGCCTCCCTGTTTCAACAAAGGACTTTACTTTTCCAAAATTTGTTACTTTCTTTATTCATGAACTGCCTCATTAGGAGTGAAAGAAAGTTCCATATGTTTCACAAACGTTCAACTAATAGTATACACCAAGTATTATAAAGACAAGCCAGACAATTTTTGTGACACATTAAAAAGTGGTCACCAGGCTATTGGTTCCTAAAATCATTCACTAAAGTTCTCTGAAAGTAAGCTTACCTTTGTTTCTGAATTTGGAAAGCGATCTGAATAGCGAGAAAACACAAATCGTTCTTCATAAGTAAGTTATTTGTGAGGTTTAAAGGAAATAGTACCGCAATTGTTCAATTCGCAAACAAGATTATTATCGTCTGAAATTCCAAAGTTGGTCGAAACACATCTGGGCTCCGCTAGGCACAACTGTCCACAAGATAACAATGAAGAAACGTTAAGAGTCTTAATTTGGTGCCTCT